GCTTGCCACCAGAAGTTGTGGGTGCCCCATCCCTGGAGGGTTTTTTTAAGAAGAGATTTGACAGCCACTTGTCTGGAGTGGTATAGGGTCTCCTGCTTGGGCAGGGGGCTGGACTAGAAGACCTCCAAGGTCCCTTCCAGCCCTATTCTGATGGACAGACGGACTGAAATCAGGAGAAATTTTCTGACCGTGAGAACAATTAAACAAGCCACCGTGAGAAAGAGTTGGCAAAACAGCTGGCTCAGTTCAAATTGGATCTGACCGAGAAGGAGGCTCAGCAGAAGCACCTCACTGAGGACTAGGAGCATAGGCTTTCCAAGCAGAGGGAAGACCTGCGGGAGTGCAAGGCCAGGTACCGGCACCTGGAGGCTCAGTGGGCTGAGATGGTCAGCCAGTTCCAGACCATGATGCAGTCCCACTGGAATGAAGCTCTCCAGCTCTTTGCCACCAGCGGTGCTTCCCTCCAGCCTTTGCCGAAAGCCCCGTACCAGGAGGCCGAAGCAGATCCCAAGTCGGAATTTCTGCCCCCCTTCGACCCACACAAGAAGACCCCAAAGGGGGAGACTCTCTGCAGCAACACAAACTTTCATTGCACGTATCTGTCCCAGGGGCCGTAGTTTGAGGACCCCTGATTTAGTGCAATATAAAAAAGTGCAAATAATTTTTCTGCAGACCACCAAAATTTTCTCACAGACCACCAGTTGGTGACCGCTGGACTAGAAGACCTCCAAGGTCCCTTCCTGCTCTATTCTATTCAATAAAACTGGTTAAATTGGACCTCGTGTGGGCCTGATCTTTCCCACCTGACATAAAGGGTTGATTCAAAAGAAGAATGCAGGTCAACCGTTCAGAGTTGGATAGAGCTGAATAGCTTGACCCCCGAATGCAAATATTCTGCACTGCAGCCATCTACTCAACGTTGACAATTGCAAAGAAATAAATTAGCAAGCCAAGATATATATCTGCCTCCGATATTGCATCAAGATGCTCAGATATTTTAGAGAAAGAGTCCCTACCGCTATTTCATTTCAAATAGTTTGGAGAAGATCCGAGCCTCTCTTCTTGGACTCATTAAACTACCCTTAATGTAAGGCGCGCCGGAGAGAGGATGCTTCATGCCAAAATCAGAGGATCTTGCACAGCTCATCAACCAACAGCAGCAGAGAAGAGACCTGGGTATCAAATAGCTGCAAAATTTAGTGGACTAAATTTCCACTTGCTACATCAGCTAAGTTCTAGCTGGCACCATTGTTAATATCTCCTCTGAAGCAACGTTGGATGGCATTTCCAAAAGAGAAGTGGAATAGTAGCTGACTCATTCTGTTTTTCTTTTGCTATCTTCATGCTTTCCAAAACGGCAAATAAATACAGAGGTATATGCTTTAATTATTGTGGTTGTTACGCTAATAGAAGAGAAGAGAAGAGAAGAGAAGAGAAGAGAAGAGAAGAGAAGAGAAGAGAAGAGAACCTTGCAGGTCATCTAGTCCAGCCTCCTGCTCAAACAGGAGAACCTATACCATTTCAGATAAGCAACTGTCCAGTCTCTTCTTAAAAACATCCAGTGATGGAGCACCCACAACTTCTGGTGGCAAGCAGTTCCACAGATTAATAGTCCTCACTGTTAGGAAGTTCCTCCTTAATTCCAGGTTGCTTCTCTCCTTGATTAGTTTCCAACCATTGTTTCTTGTCCTGCCCTCTGGTGCTTTAGAGAATAATTTGACCCCCTCTTCTTTGTGCTGTTATTGAGCTTTATTTGTTCAATGTGTTTTTTTAAAAAAACATTTTCTGATATCTCTCTTTAAATCCACTAATACAGCTAATCTATTTCGTTTAGTTCCAATTCTAACTATTGTAAAGTGATAATGTACTACCGTGTTTCCCCGAAAATAAGACCCTGTCTTATATTTTTTTGAACCACGAAATAAGCGTTTGGCCTTATTTTCGGGGAGGTCTTATTATTTTGGGGCGCATGGAGCAAGATGGGGCTCCTCTTGCCATTTTACCTGATTTCCAGCTCTGCATTTAAATATTTTCAGGGAGGGCTTATTTTCAGGGGAGCCTTATTTTAGCGCATGTGCTCAGAACCCCAATTGGGCTTATTATGAGGGGATGTCTTATTTTCGGGGAAACAGGGTAATTGTACATGTCTTGCAGGAATGCTTTCTAAATACCATAGCATCCAAGTTCAGAGGATTCCTCAGTGTTTCTCTGCCACCTTTCTAAAAAAAATACCGTCCTAAAGTATTTTTCTTTCAAACTCAAATTTTATTTTGAAATGTCCATTTGAAGCAATTCAATTCCGTTTCAATTGCCTTCCCCCCCCCCCGGCATCTGCCATCCAGCTGTGCTGGACTCCCACAGAAGCCAAAATCGGATACATCTGGCAGGCAGCCTGGGTAGATAGAAGGTTGATCTAAAAGGATCGTTTCAATAAAAGTGGGATGCATTTCGAATTCTAACTATTTTTGCACAACAGCTTTTATAGCAATGAAGTCTGGAGCCAAGATCTTGTAAAAAAAAAAAAATAGAATTGGTATGGTGATAGTCACCATGGTCCATAACCACTGTGGTCCATTCCACACCATTTGGTGAATAACCATCAGCTGCCTTGCAAATATATAAAAATATTACGCTAAGCTGTAAGCGAAGCACACCAGGTGAAGCGGGAAAGCAGAAACCTGCCGAGTTTTCACAACATGCTTAACTTGGTTTTATTAAATTCACATTTTCTGAGTTTTGACAATACATTGAACCATAAACTAACCAAGTAGTCCGCATTCACACAACATTCAAAACCATAAGGGACTAACCACGATAAGATTTTAAAAGTTTAATGCCTGTCAAGAGGTTTGTTACTGAGCTAGTTAATACGTTTATTCAAGTGGTGTGGGATAAAGAGGTTAGCGAACGTGATTGTGTGTCAAAGTTTAACAAACAATGTTTGAGGGGCTGCCACAAAGAAGAGGGAGGGTCAAGCTATTTTCCAAAGCACCCGAAGGAATAATGGATGGAAACTAATCAAGGAGAGAAGCAACCTAGAACTAAGGAGAAATTTCCTGACTTTGAGAATAATTAATCAGTAGAACGGGTTATTTTCAGAAGTTGTGGGTGCCTCATCTTTGGAGGTTTTTAAGAAGAGACTGGACAGCCACTTGTCTGGATTGGTATAGAGTCTCCTGCTTGAGCAGGGGGTTAGGCTAGATGACCTCCAAAGCCCCTTCCAACTCTGTTAATTCTGTAATTCTGCCACCCAGTTCGATGCAAAATAATTGAGGCCACCAATCCTAAACAACATCAGAAAAGTTCTTGTTCACGGTACAAAGAAAACCTACCATTAGCCAAACATTTTTCAACATTACACCACCACATTCTTTGACATGGCAAGATTGAGAACTGAGTGAGAAAACTGGCTTGTATTTCATAATTCTAGCAGAAAAAGTGCATGTTCCTTCTTTATTGATAAACAAAGCCTTCGTTTAACACTTGCGATTCCTACCGATGCACAATTAGCCCTCGGATCGATTGAAACAAAAACAACCAGAAAATCTATTATCCTTGATTTCCAAAAAGAAACTCTCTATGTAAATTTTTTTCATCGGAGATTCTCTTTTCTAAGACTTTCCAATACTTTAAAAAAAAAAAAAACAGCACTGCCCCTTTATAGAACTTTTAACAAAATTTTAACCATTTGCATAAACCTTCCTAATATCAAGCCCATAAGAAAAACTCTATTTGATAAGATCTAACACGCCAGATCTGTTTCCGATCTGAGAAACTGGGGAAAGATTTTTCTATTTCTCAGCTAAATTCCAATACATCGGAACTCCTACATTGTCAGGAGGGAGTCATAAAATATTATTAACTCCTGAAGAAAGACAGAGAGAGTGAGAGAGGGGGGGGGGAAGAAAGAGAGGAAGAGGGGAATGTAGGAGAAATAGCTTCGGCCATTATTCTTTGTCCAGGATTCTCCTTTCCCTGCAAAGCAAGTTGGATTGTTTTCTCCGTTGGAATAGTCTTAAGTGGGGAAAAAAACTTCCATCCACTTGGCAAGGAGATTGTGAAACTTAAAATGATTGTAAAACTTAACTGAAAGGCCGAAAAAGGTTTCTAGGAATTTCTAAGGGCTGTTTGAAAAGTTGATGCACCTGGAGATATTGTGGTGGGTTCTCGAATTGTGGCAATTGTCAGGAACCCCAGTCAGGGGGGGAAAGGAGATACCTGACCCTCTGGCTCCCACCCACCCAATTGACTGCCATGGAGAAGGGGCTGGTTCAAATCTTGAGACTTTTTCTTTAAAAAAGGACCACAGATTCCCAAGGTCTTCACAAAAGGCTGAGAGACCCCCCCCCTCAAGGAAGCCTTTTGCAGCTGCTCCAGAGAAACCCCCTTCCTATTTTGCAAACCCCCTCCCCACCCAGGACTCTGGGTTTCCAAGTTCCCCCTCCAGGTTGCTTTGGAGGAGGGGGTCTTTCTCCAGGATGGAGTGACGGGGAGGAACATCTCCTCCAAAGGTCCCTCTCAGGGATCAGCTCAGGGGCCGCCACACCATAACCCCCACCCCACCCCACCCCAAAACCTTGCCTCGTCCCCCCAACTCTCTCAACTCCGGAACTTGGCTCCCTCAAAGCCCCTTCCTCTTCTCTTCTCATCTCTCTTCCTTCCCCAAAACACCCAGCGCCCAGTGACTCCGAGGCTCGGAGGGATAGACTGCCCCCGCCGCTGGAGGCTCCGCCGGCGCCCCGTGCGAGGGTCTTTCCAAGGGAAAGCGAAGACGTCTGCTAAAAGGGAGGGTCTCCCGGGCAGCTGCCACCCCCCCCACCCTCCCCCAAAGATCCGGGTCAGGAGAAAGGCTCAGGGTGGGGGGTGGGGAGTGGGGGAGGCGAGCTGAGAAGCTGGAGCCAGGGCCAGGTGAGGGCAGGCGGACAGGTATGGTAGGTAGGCAGGCAGGCATGCAAAGGGGGTGCGGGCATCTCCCACCTTTCCTTCCATCTCCCCCCCACCTCCCCATCCCCGACTCACGTCCAGGATGACGGAGGTGCCCTTCTTCTGCTCGGGGCCGGCGGCGGCGGCGGCGGCGGCGGCGGGACCCTCGGGCAGCAGCTCCCGCTCGGGCAGGGGGCTCTTGCCGTCGCTCATTTTGGTGACCACCCAGCGCAGGAGCCCGCTCGCCGGCTGCGGCTGCTGGCGGAGCAGCCTGTGGACGCTCTCGCGGCAGTAACGCGCTGCCTGCTCACACATCTTTCACCGACGCCTTCATCCTGCTGCAGCCGGGGGTATTCCCTCCCCCCCCGGCCCCGGCTACCTCCGCGCCCCGCGCCCGCGCCCACCCTTGCGCGCCCCCCGCAGGAGGCAGCCGGAGGCAGGCAGGCAGGCAGGCAGGCAGGACTGGCCCCGCCGAGGGGGGCGAGGGGGAATTAATAGCCGGAGGGGAGGCGAGGCAGGCGGGTCTTCTCGTCTCCCGAGCCAGCCGGCGGACGGAGGAGAAGCGCGGGGCCGCCCCTGGCTTTTCGCCGGCGCGCCTGGAAAGGAGGATGAGCAATTGCCTGAAGTTTCCTGGGTACCAGCAGGTCTTAGGGGGCGGGAGGAGGGGAGGGGGGAGAAGAGACTTGAAAAGCCTAATGCAAAGGAAAAGGGGAAGGGGAAGGGGGGGAGAACAGGAAAGGAAGTAACTCCAGTCATCAATTGTCCCAAAACATCACAACACAACACATACCATACCATACCATAAAACATAACATAACATAAAAGTAGTATTTTAGTATAACATAACATAACATAACATAACATAACATAACATAACATAACATAACATAACATAACATAACATAACATAATCTTAGACTTACATGCTACTTCATAGTGGTTTACAAAGTCAGTATATTGCCACATTTTACCAACCTTGGAAGAATGAAAAGTTGAGCCAACCTATTATGTATTGCATTGCATTGCATTGCACTGCACTGCACTGCACTGTATTGAATTGAATTGAATTGCATTGCACTGCACTGCACTGTATTGAATTGCACTGCATTGCATTGCACTACACTGTATTGAATTGAATTGCATTGCACTGCACTGTATTGAATTGCATTGCATTGCACTGCATTGCATTGCACTGCATTGCATTGCACTGCACTGCACTGCATTGCATTGCATTGCATTATAATCATAACAATATAATATATTACATTACATTACATTATAATAAAAATATATTATATTATAATTAATATAATATAATTAATATAATATAATAAATTCAATACAATACAGTACAGTACAATATAATACAGATCAAGAAGTCTGGATAGTGAACGTTGCAATGCAGAAGAGAAGAGAAAGAACTGGAGAAAATCGCAAAATACAAACACCTGCAAAAAGAAATAGAACGACTGTGGCAAAAGAAAGCAAAGCAAGAACCTTCCCAAGGCCACCAACCGACTGTGTCACGGCGTACATCTTTACCAACACTTTGGCTCAGTTCTGAATGGGAAGCAAAAAAAACCCCAAAAACCTCAAAAAAGTAAGGCGGAGGAAGAAGGGGTGTTATGTATGTTTGCCGCCTTGAGTTATTTATAAAGTAATAAAGGCGGGATAAACATCTAATAAATGTATTCGTGAATTTAACACTTCTTCATGGAAGCTGTTGGAATTCACTGCTGATCTGCATTCTGAACCTTGGCAAGATCCCTCAAGAGGAAAAAAATCTTCACAGGGTTGTTAGGAGCCACAATGAAAGCCCTCCGTCCACACCAACCACCTCCAACTTGATGTTCTTCAGAAGATCAGTGGTTCCTATATAGCAGGAAAACTCCAGACAGTTCTTCAAGGAAAACTGAGATACAACTCCTGCCTTCCTCCCTTCCCTCTTTCCCTGTCCTTTCCTCCCTATCTCTCTCCCTTCCTTCCTTCCTTCTTTCCTTCCTTCCTTTCCCCTCCCTCCCTGTCCTCCCTGTCCTCCCTCTCCTTCCTTCCCTCCCTCCTTCCTTCCTTTTCTTCCTTCCTTCCTTTACCCTCCCTCCCTGTCCTTCCTTCCTTTTTTCTTCTCCACCTCTCCTTCCTTCTCTCCCTCTCCCTTTCCTTCCTTTCCTTCCTTCCTTCCCTTCCCCTTCCCCTCCCCCTCCCCCTCCCTGTCTTTCCTTCCTTCCTTCCTTCCTTCCTTCCTTCCTTCCTTCCTTCCTTCCTAACCAGTCCTAAAGCCCAGGATCTGTTTATTGGACAGAACTGAAAAAGGACACTGTAATCTAATATTAATCAGGAAAAAAATCTGCTAGTTCTCATTTTGATGGAAGGAACTGTGGCTGATTCGTTTTTTTCAAAGAGGGCTATCTTTTCTTAAGGACAAATGCCCAAGGGCCGAGTGAAAAAAAAAATTCTCAAAGCTACAGAGTCCATGATTTTTCTCATTTCACTCCACCTTTCTGCCAGAGAAATACAGGTAGTCCTCAACTTACATCAGTTCATTTAGTGACCATTTGAAGTTATAACAGCACTGAAAAAGTGACTTATGGCCGTTTTTCACACTTATGACCATTGCAGCATCCCCATGGATTCAAAATTCAGACGTTTTGGCAACTGACTCATATTTATGACGGTTGCAGCGTCCCCGGGGTCATGTGATCCACTTTTATGACCATCCGACAAGCAAAGTCCACGGGGAAACCAGATTCACTGAACAACCATGTCATTCACTGAACAATGCGGTGATTCACTTAACAACGGTGGCCAGAAAGGTCGTAAAAATGGGGTCGTAAAATGTAATAAAAAGTTATAAAAATCACTTAAATCACCGTCTCGCTTAACAACAGAAATCTGGTGCTTAATTGTGGCCATAAATCGAGGACTAACTGTAGTCACACCTTTTTAGCCCTCAGAAAAAGGGGACACAGAATTTCTGAGCATAGCTTTAGCCTCATCCTTCCTTCAGTGGTGGGTTTCAAAACTTTTTACTACCGGGCGTGGCTTGGTGGGCGTGGCATGGCTTGATTGGCATGGCTTGGTGGGCGTGGCAGGGGAAGGATACTGTAAAATCTCCATTCCCACCCCACTCCAGGGGAAGGTTACTGCAAAATCCCCATTTCCTCCCGATCAGCTGGGACTCGGGAGGCAGAGAATAGATGGGGGGTGGGGGGCCAGTCAGAATTTTTACTACCGGTTCTCCAAACTATTCAAAATTTCCGCTACCGGTTCGCCAGAACTGGTCAGAACCTGCTGAAACCCACCTCTGGATTCCTTGCGTCTTGAAATATCTACCCAGTTTGCCTGACACCTTTTGGGACCAGGGAAAGTTGGTATCTGCTAAGGTTTGCTGAGAAGCCCCTGTCCCCCCCCCCTCCCCCCCCCAGTTTTGTCTCCCTCCTGGGATCAGCTAATCCTCTCCTTTCTCAGGGCTCCGTGGGGAGATTTAACTAATTAGAGGCTTCCAGCAGGCTGAAGGATCCCTGGTCTTTTGGAGGCAAATGTCAGAGTCAGATCTACAGCTTTGCTCCTGTTTGCTAACCAATGGCTGGCAGGTTGTGTCAAACGCTTAGGCAATTGTGGCAGAGGGGGTGCATCACAGCATTTGGAGCTAGGTAGAGGCAGAGATTGGGGTGGGGGGAGGGAGGGCTCCAGAGGCAAAATCCAGTCTTCGCAAACCAATGCAATTTCCGGTTCCAGGTCGGCTCGGCCAATCCACCCCATTTGAATTCAAGCCGGCCATCAAAGCAACATTCTAGATTCCTTCTGGGAAGGAACTGAAGTGTCCGATTTGTAGGGAAGAAGCCAATTCAATTCAACAGTTTTTGGCCAGTTCCAAGATTCAATCCAAGTGTTTCCAGGTCCCTCCCTCCCTTCCTTCCTTCCTTCCTTCCTTCCTTCCTTCCTTCCTTCCTTCCTTCCTTCCCCTTTCCTCCCTCTCTCCATTCCTTCCCCTTTCCTCCCTCTCTCCACTTCTTCCTTCCTTCCTTCCTCTCTCCATTTCTTTCTCCCTCCCTTCCTTCCCTGTCCTTTCCTCCCTCTCTCCACCCCTTCCTTCCTTCCTTCCTTCCCCTTTCCTCCCTCTCTCCACTTCTTCCTTCCTTCCTCTCTCCATTTCTTTCTTCCTTCCTTCCTTCCCTGTCCTTTCCTCCCTCTCTCCACCCCTTCCTTCCTTGCTTCCTTCCTTCCCCTTTCCTCCCTCTCTCCACCTCTCCCTTCCTTCCTTCCTCTCTCCTCCCTCTCTCCACCTCTTCCTTCCTTCCTTCCTCTTTCCTCCCTCTCTCCACTTCTTTCTTTCTTTCTTTCTTCCTTCCCTATCCTTTCTTCTCTCTCCATCTCTCCCTTCCTTCCTTTCTTCTTTCCTCCCTCTCTCCACTTCTTTCTTTCTTCCTTCCTTCCTTCCTTCCGTCCTTTCCTCCCTCTCTCCACTCCTTCCTTCCTTCCTCCCTCCCCCACATATTCTTCCTTCCTTCCTTCCCTATCCTTTCCTCCCTCTCTCCACTCTTTTCTTCCTCCCTCTCTCCACTTTTCTTTTCTTCCTTCCTTCCTTCCCTGTCCTTTCTTCCCTCTCTCCACCTCTCCCTTCCTTCCTTCCTCTTTCCTCCCTCTCTCCACCTCTTCCTTCCTTCCTTCCTCTTTCCTCCCTCTCTCCACTTCTTTCTTTCTTTCTCTTTCTCTTCCTTCCTTCCTTCCTTCCTTCCTTCCTTCCTTCCTTCCTTCCCTGTCCTTTCTTTTCTCTCTCCACCTCTTCCTTTCTTCTTCTTTCCTCCCTCTCTTCTTCCTTCTTCCTTCCTTCCTTCCTTCCTTCCCTGTCCTTTCCTCCCTCTCTCCACCCCTTCCTTCCTTGCTTGCTTGCTTCCTTCCTTCCTCCCTCCCTCCCCCCCCACATATTTTTGATCCAGAAAGAAGAAGTGGCAATAGGGCCAGGAAGAGGAAAATAGGTCTCATATTTGCCCCTTCTAATTTTCTCACCAAATACTCTGACACACATGCTTCAGCTATGTCAGGATTTCTCAACCTCAGCCACTACAAGATGCATGGATTTCAACTCCATGCTAGGCTGGGGAATTCTGCGAGTTGAAGTTCATCCATTTTAACGTGGCTGAGACTGGCAAACACCAACTTTTCCCATTAATCAATGCAGCTACAAGCATAAAGGCAGCTCATGGGAGGGACAATTCCTCCTCCCTCCCCAGATCTCTCCTTCTGTGCCAATAAACAGTAGTGCAATCTTTATAAAGTGACACAGATCAAGAGAAAAAAAAATGGAAAGGGAAGAA